GGCCCCGGGTGCGCGGGAGGCAGGTGCCGCATCTTCGCTCATGTCCTTCGCACCTGAGAGCAAAGGGGTGTCAGGCCCCGGGAGGGCTTCTGAGAGCAGCGGGAGATTTCCATGTGGCTTCTGCGTCTCGCTGTCCTGCTCTGATCTGCTCTGGTAACACCGGAGCAGTTGTCCTCCATGGATTCTCTGTATCGCCTACTTTGTTGTGCTGATACCGCCTCTGTGCGCCGGGACGTGCCTTCCTCCCGCTCCTTCCTATCTAGCCTGGGAATTAAAACACATGGGAAGGCAATACTCCGTTTTGCTAGCGGCATCTTTTTCAGCCAGTGTGTTCGGCGGAGGTCTTTTCACACCCTGCTTTCACTTTCGCCTACCAGCGTCCAAAAATTCGAAAGAATATTTATCAAGCAGAAACAGTTATATTGGGATGTTTAGTCAAATCTCCGAACTCCACAGTGGGGACTGGACTTTACAGTGTGAGACGAACGGAACAGGCTGGGAGGGAAAAGGGGAGGAGGAAGCTTTGTTTTTTCATTCAGAAACTGGATGGAACAACCCTGAGAAAGGAGGAACAGCCGCTCTCTTTCTGTGACATTCTGGAGAAGGTTATGTTCCATCTCAGCCTGAGGCACAGGACTGACTCACTCTCCTGGTGTTTCTGGAAGAATAATCAGTGATCCATCCTGACTCGTGTTCTTAGGGAAGAGCCTGTTTTGTGTGGGGGTCTTTTTAGACACTTACCTGCTTTGTGTTTTTACAGTGACCGGGAGTGAAGGGAAAATATTAGATCATGTCGGAGTTCTGGCTAATTTCTGCCCCAGGAGATAAAACAAATCTGCAAGCATGGGAGAGGATGAACACGGTGACGTCTAAATCCAACCTGTCCAGCAACAGCAAATTCCATATTCCAGACTTAAAGGTAAATGAGGAAGCGGTTTGCGTATGGAAGATGCAGCATTTTTCGCCAGGGCTAGAGAAATCTGGGGTAAACGTGGGATTTATCTTTTGGGATAATATGCAGAGAGTAGAAGAAGATTGCATCTGGGGGATGAGTTGTGGTCAGTCAATAGAAAACTGATCAGAAAGAAAAGAAGTCATTGCCACTGTGACCTTCACACTGGAAGGATTTATGTATGAGGAGTGAAGATGGGTGAGATGAGTCAACTAACTAATCTTCAGCACTCAAGGTGCCATTTGCTCCCAGTTGTGCAAGTTATACAGCACTGTACATCTTGGATGGCTACTGCAAAGGCAGTAGCCAAGTACCTAAAACCATGCCAGTAAGACTACTGACAGAGAAAACAGTGCTATAATGCACATTACTCCTTGGGAAATGGATGTGTGTGTTTGTTCAGCTACATTACCCAGCTTCATATCAGCATAAAAATAGGAAGACTATTAATCTATTATTAATATCTTTGCGTTATTTAATCCTATTTTATAAGATCTGAGACTTATTTTTATTTCACTTTTGGCTATGAAAAATCTAAATATGCCTCATTAAAGCCAATGGAGCTACACAGGAACTTCATTCCTTGGGGATTTACCATCACCAATCGCTTAACAAAACTATGTTTAGTGCATCCAAGATCTGGCTTTAGTCCAGAAAGATTGTTAACAGTTATAACTTGAGCTATTCCAATTACATAAGGATGCAAGCAAAAGGGGAGCCTGCTCTCAAGTAATAACCAACTGAATTGTCGCATGAATGTTTCAGGCTGGGAATGTTGCTTTTTGCATGTGTCCCTGAGATTGTTATGATTTTTGCCATCTGTGTGCCTTACCCAGTTTGATGTGCGTCTGTTAAAGTAAATAAAGCATTTGCAGTATCCGAAGGTGCAGCCAGCCCATTAATAATATTCTGCTAGTTGTTCTATGTAAAATTTGTTTCTTCTTCTTCAGCTTGACCCTTCATGGTGTTGAGCTGGCAACATTACAAGAGAAAGGTTTAGCAATATACTGCAATACCATAAGCATGGGACTATGACTGTGACAGAGTCATACGAAAATCAGATGTTGGTATTGGAGGAAAAGGCTTTATGAGAGGCTTAGTCTTTGGTAGTAACAAAGAATGCAGACAGAGACCCCCTTTTGAAAAAGTGCTGCTTCCCTCCTTTCTCTCAGTATGTCTGATTTGTTTGTATGTGTATGGTGTGCATTTCTAGTCACTGTTTTATCAGGTTGAAGACTAGACTATGCAATTCGATGATACAGAAATGAAAACAGGAAGGAAGACACTGATGTATGCTCTTGAAACTACACATACTTTTTTCCATTATTGGAAAAGGCTTTTTATGCCCTAGGTCTCGGGTAAAGGAATTGCTACTATTTTCCACCAAGTAAATAAGGTTCTGACAAACTGTTGAATTCACAAGGGCAAACACAAGTTGGTGCCCCTAAGACTCTGCCAACAGAAGCCTTAGGCAGACTTGTGCATCTTTCACCTACTTCTTATCTTTTGCACAGGTGGGGACACTGGATGCGCTTGTTGGTCTGTCAGATGAGTTGGGAAAACTTGATAGCTTTGCTGAAAGGTAAAATAGATCTTATTTACTACCTACAAATGAGAAACAGACATTGTTTTTATGGGACAGTATGTCCTTGTGTTCACCTCAGTCTGACTCAGTCCAGCCTGGACCACAACGGGACTAATGTGGATCGACTTTGTTTAACCCTTTCGTTGGTTGTCATGGTGTCATCACAAAGAATGATCATTCCTTAAAATTTAGCTGAAATAAGTCTGTGATGGTTTTGTCTGCACAGCAAACTGTTTGAGTGGCAGTGTGAGGGAAGCTGTTTCTCAAAAGGAAACTGCTTAAAAGGGTTCTTTTATTTATATTTCTTTTTTTAAGAACATCCTCCCACCCCATCCGTAAACTTAGATTAATAAACCAGCATTTACAGAAGATGAAGCGGTCCCTGATCTTATTTTCCTATACTAGTTCTATTGAACCTTCTGCGCTTTTCAACCAAATACAGGAGTTCTAAGGAATAAGTTGTTCTGAATGAAATCTGGACCTCTCCTTCTCAGGCTTTTATACTCCTTGAAAGCCAGAATATTGACTCACATTGAATCAAACCTATTTATGCAAAGGCTCACATGATCTCCTTGCTGATCATTGCTCAATTTGTCTTTTGAGCCAAACTGACCTGGGTGTACAAAGAATAATATAGTACAGCAAACTGAGAAAATGACAGGTTGTAAAATACTTCATGGCACAGAGTAGACTTTGTTGTTGAGGCAATGAAAGTATAAGCTGCTGGGGTTCTGGGTTTTGATCACAGAGGCATGTTAGCTCTGGGGCTTTTTGCCTTTTTGCCCCAGCCAGGAGCTCAATACTTTCATAGATTTTTCTCTGGCGTTTGCAAACACACACTGATATAAACTGTTTACATCTATGCGAGGCAGTTTGGGTAAAACTAAGCCTACTAGAATACATTTCTCCAAAGGATTTTTTACTTCACTAGTGCTACAGCAGAGCTGTATTAGGATGATCATATTTGATCCTTCTGGGTTGCACACAACGTTCATCTTTTAAGAATATGATTCATATCTTGAATTAGAAGGGACTCATAATGATCATCAAGTTAACTCCCTGCTCCTCAGAGGGCTACCTAAAACTAAACCATTTTTCAGGATTTGTAGCAGGACAGAGCAATTTAATTCATATATGTAAAAAAACCCAAACAAACCTTTTCCGTTGTGATCTTGCAAAAAAACCTGCCACAAATTCTTGCTAAGCATATTCAGGCCTCTGGTTCATACTGCAGAGATTCTTCATGGAGCACGAATGGGAGCAAATTTGGGGAAAGACAGTGCCAGAGTGCCAGTACCTGCTATCTATTATAATGGAACATGTCTCTACTCAGGGCAGCAGATAGGCAAGCAACGGTGTGATCTGTTTTGAGGACTGCCAAAAATCATGTAGAACTGATTTTCAGAAGGGCTTAACTAATACCCAGCTTTCTGAAGAAGTTGGACCTCTGAAAAGCTGACTGTATGATCTGTGTAAGCCCACAGAGGGTAGTTTTAAGAGAAATGTCAGTATGAGCTCCCTAGGCTCTCTGGCTCCTTCAGTTACCTATGTCTTAACTTGACAACATGGTGCAGCTCCTTGTTCAAGCTGAATACCTCTTTACTCCCCGAGTTGTCCCTTTTGTGCCAGTAATGACTATTACTGTGCTATAGGCACAAGTAAAGGGATCAGTGAGGCACCTTCACTTAACCTGCTGATTTGAGGACTTTTCCAATTTGTATTACTTGCCTATTAAGCTAGGTAACCAAGAAGAATCAAAAGGTTTTAAAAATAAGAAAAATATGTTGAAAAATAAGAAAAATGCATTAGAGTAATAACAGAGAATAATCCACACAAATCCATCATGTACCACAAGGACATAAAAAGCATTTTGTGTTAAATAAATGCCCAGGGCTATAAACCTAAACAGTAATTCAGGGGTTAAAATGCCAAGCACTTGCATGGCATCCAGAGGGCTAGAAGCCTGTTCAAATGACCTGAGCATTTATGTTCCTGCTTCTTTGAAAGAGCTACCTGCTAAACTATTGTTGGATAAACACAAATGCCGGTAAAGCCAGGCAGTGCAAACCTGTCAGCGCTGCCTCCTGCCAGGACAGCAGAGAAGGGGCAGGAGTTTGCAGGATCTATTGTTTCCACACACTTTTATTATTTATTTACGCAGAGAAGCAGAGTGTTTTTCCATGTTGCCCTGTGGTAGCATGGAGCTCTCTGAAGCTGACAGTCCTCTCGGTCACTCTTACCCTGGGGGTTTTCCTGGCTGCTTGGTCAGTGGAGCATTCTGCAGCAGCAACAGATTGCAGGGCTTCTGCTCCCTGCAGTATTTTGAAGGCCGAGCTAGTGGCACCCTTTAACACAAAGTTAACATTTAAAGAGTGGTAGACTTTTTTTTTTTTTTTAATTTTTGTAAGTAATGGCATTGCAGCAATTCCAAAAGCAAAATATGAGAGTCTTCCAAGCCGTAATAATAGGCTAAATGGTTATACTTGTCACAGGTTTTTATTACTACTTCTCAAGGCAGTTTAGCTGAAACCCTCTCCCTTTATAATGCATTATTTGAGGATGATATGTGCTCAAGGTCTCATCTGAAGGCAGAGGTTTAAGTTGGGTATGAAAGCTGCTTGCTGCTGGATGTCACTGAAGGCGATGGGGCTTCTATGGCGGTCTGATTCCTCTCACTTGCCACAGACATCAGTGTTGTACAGGGTGCATGTTCTGTCTTTGCCTGGGGAATGTATTGGATGAGTGAGTCCCACTTTCATTTCACAGGATGCAAGGCAAGGCACAGACATTAAGCCAGGACTGGAGAACATTTCTCTGTCCCAAAGCATACATGCATTCTGGCTGTATCCTGCTGCAGGAACCTGGCCTGGGCAGCTATGACTGTCAGGTGCATCAGAGCATATACCTATCCCACCATCTATATCTGTGGAGAGAGACCAGAGCTAAATATCTCCCAGCTGTCAGGTTAGCCACCAGCTGCGCTCCACAGTAATGCAAGCAGTTCAGGACCCTGGGATGTATCCTCTTGTTCCTCCATTACATTTGGAGTTTTAAACATGGATTTCTTGCCTTCTGGTTTCTGCTATGAGTAACATGAGTGTACAGAAGACTGAATCTTGATCTTCTGGAAGTTTAGAGCATGGTGGAAATGATACTGCCTATGTGTTTGCAGAAATCAATGTATTTAGAAATAAGGCATTTGGTTCTGCAATATACCATAGATGGTTTATCTTAATTTGAATTGCAAATTGACCTGCCTTGCTTTAGAAGTGTTTTGTTTGGGCATCTCCATGTTTATCAGATCATTGTGGCAATTGCTTTATATTCCTTTCTTCACTAACATATCTTCTCTTTTTACACCTAAGTGTAATAAAGAAAATAGCCCAGTACATAGGAGAAGTTATGGAGGACTCAAAAGATAAAGTCCAGGAAAATCTTCTGGCCAATGGAGGTAGGTTCTGTGAATGTGGGTTTTTTGTTTGCTTCAGAATATGTACATGTGGCATTGAAACACGCACACATTAGGAAGGACAACCACCAGTAACATTTTTAAAGAACACAGGTATCTGGCTCCTATTTTTCTCAAAGGTATCAGAAGCTTTATCCAGCACCAACTTTCCTTCCAGGGCAGTGTTCGGCACCTAGTGCTGAACTAATTTCTAACAGCAGAGCTGAGGAATGAAGCGGAAAGCAGGACGCATCTTCCTTCACTTCTAAAATGGCCTAGCACCTTGCTGTGCCCTGAATGGGCTTGATCTCTTACAGGCAGCTAAATCTCATTTTGTATGGCTGCACGACATCTGTCAGTGGTCTGTTGGGGATTTGCCTTCCCTCTTACAGTGCTGGGGTAGGTCACATTGTCAGCTGTGGATTTCTGACATCACAGTTGGATGTGGGGCAACAGCTCCAAAAGATGGAGCCGCGGCTGCACTGTTAGGAGGAAGTGCTCTCTAGTGGAGCCCTGCCCTACCCTGGCTGGCAGCAGTTGTGTGGCAGAGAAGAGCAGGCAGTGACAGCAAGGGCACTTCTGACATGTCAAAGGGATGTGAGAGCCTGCTGCGTTCCAGTTACGCTCCCCTACCTCATCTCTAAGCAGTCAATGCAGTGTTTTTATAACCTCCATGAAGTAATTTTCCCTGTTTGTTACCTAGTATGGTACTCAAGGCTCTAAAGGGACCCTGTGTCACAGACAAAATTAACATTTAGAAACTGATGGCTTCTAGATCTCCCCACATTTCATTAGACCCTGAGTGTGTTTCAGTGCAAATTCCTCCCCAGCTATCCTGGAAAAGTAAAACAAAATTGGATTTGTTACAGATGCTAATTACAGGCTTGTAGAATGATGCTTTTACATAAACTAAGAATGACCACTCCGCCACCCTTTGACAGTCTGCAGTGTTGTTCTTCAGATCTGACGAGTACAGGATGAGGAGGAAGTTCTTTTAGAAATGTCCTCCTTGCATGACATAAGACTGACATTTGATGAGCGTGACTGTTTGTTTGCCGAATACGATAATTCCACTTACTGTGTTTCAGGACTAAAGGATAAAATGAAATGTCTCAAAAGTATGTTGGGGATTGATGATTGCTGTGTTGTTACAAGCATGCATCTGTGTGTACTAGTGCTAGAGAAAAGTCTTGGTCTGGTTGTAGAGATACAGTGATCAGGTTACGATGGATTTCTCAAGTAACAACCTCGTAGCTTGATCACGATATCCCTATGACTTGAGAAACAACAGGTTTCACTTATTTCCTTTGTTTCCTCTTTTTACACCAGTTTTTTTCCCTATTAATTCTGCATGTGTTATAACAGAAGGATGTGAAAATTATTTGTACGTGTTACTAATTCTATCTGGATTTGGTCATTCAAACAAATCATGTTAAACTAAGCCATTAACCTTTCAAAGTTTATTTATTATTATTATCTTAAAAAATTGAGTCAGCTTTATTATATGGGGACTCCTCTAATATACTCCAGTGTCATTCTTTATAAACAACAGCAACTTTGCTGTACGAATTCTTCCTCCTCCCCTTTCTGGTCAGCAAAAGCACCCTAAAGTTGAAGACTTCCTCAAGCTCATGAAATCAGAAACAGAATTATAAGACATGACTTCATGCTGCATGGTCCCGTTTCAGACTATTGACTGTTCCAACTCAGATTTTTGTTTAAGAAGTCACCCTATACAAGTTTTTTGACTTTAGCTCAGTTATATGTAATTCTGACAGCAGTTTGTTCCAGGAACTGTTGAAGATGGTGGCTGTGTGTCTAACAATGGTTTGGTTAGATTTGTGTGAAGAAAAATGTGAAGTACTACAGCACTTTAAGTGAACCCATATGCTACTTTCCAGTGGGCAGCAGTCAGAAGGAGCCACTCTTCTCGGAGTGTCTCTTCAAGCCACCTCTTGGAGATGTCTCTCTTATGTGTGTTTGTGTAATAAAGGGAATTTTAGTATATCACAACAGCAGGAAATGCTTTCTTGCTTATGACAATAAAAAATGTGAAATGTAGGTAAAGCTTTTCTTCAAAGATCTGGACCAAATTCTCTTCCATTTATAGTAATGTTAAACCCAAATGAGTTTTAAAGTTTGGTAAGTGATGGAATAACTCCATTCTTTATAATAAGCTCAAAACAAAGCAAAGTGGGGAGCATAACAATTTTGAAGAATTAAGTGTTTTGAAGGGAAACTGTTTAATGTTGCCTCTTAAAGCTGGGTGAGTAAATTAGACTTATCAGAGACTCATGCTGTGGGGTTCCTTGGAAGCTGTGAAAGCATTGGGGTAGGTAGGAAGCATCTCTAGTGGATGGGTGGCTATGTGAAGTCTTCCTGAAGTGACTTGACAGGTTCCATACATGATGGGTGTCATTCCAGGAGCACCAGGGTGCTTGGACTGCTTGGCATTTTAAGCTCAGTTCTGCCAGTGTGTTCTCAGTAGTTTGTGCCATCCCCAAGATGAGGCTGCTGAACTTGAACTGCACCAGTGCCAGCGCACTGCTCAGGAGTGGACTTGTAAAGCGGGCTGAGAACTCACGCTGTGCTAAGCTGCCTAACATTTAAATTGTGCTGAGATTCAAGGAAAACGAGGATAGAAAGGGCATGTGTAGGTCTTCAGGGAACTTTCATATCTCCCCAGCTATACTTAGGTCACTGTCTGTCTCTAAAGAGCCTGTGAATACACTGTTCCTCCACTCAGCCCAGTAATACCATGCTCTTTGCAGTTTTCATTCTCATCCAATTTAGCAAAGCCTAAGCAAGAAAGCCTGCAAGAGAGGCAGCAGGATAAAATCCTTGTGTCAATCTTGTGCTGTAAATGTCTCGTGAACTTTGTTGCTCAAGTGTTTTTTACTTCCCTGCCTTTTCCCCAGAGACCGTGAAAAAGCCCTGCTGGAGAACCACATGCACAGGACCTTTGCGATAGCTCTCCCTACCTGCTGCAGTTGTGCCCCCTTCCCACACCCTCCCTGTGCAGGAGATATTGCCTATCCCAATCACACATTAGTAGGAAGGGCTGGATCTTTGTCTCATGACTCCTGTCACCTCCTTACCCCTGGATGTAGGTGAGGTTTACACAGCTGTGGTTTCGGAAAGGGGGAGAGCACTATCATGCCATTGGCTCTGCCTGCCAGGCAGTTTATCCCTTGCTAAGAAGCCTGTTTCCTCCTAGCATGAGACTTTCCATGCTTTGGAAATCTAATAGGGTAAACTGATTCTGTTGTGGGGTGAGAGAAGCCCATGGAAAGGATAGTGCTCTCCTGACAAGGGTATTCAGTATCATGAGACAGGGTAGTACCCTCAGCCTTTTAGTATGGCATTTATACAACTTTTCACGTTCCTTCTCATGCATCTTGGCTCACAAATTTTTTGCCACGCCCTGGAAATCCAGCTCACAAGAAACTGTCCTCAAACCTCCATGTGGGACTGAATTAACTCTGGACAAGGCAGTAAAGAACACTGGACTCCAGCATGCCCCTCATTTTACTTGGTGCTTTGTTCCCCATCTCCCCAGAGGAGCTTCCCAGATATTCTCCATGTTCGCCCTCCTGGTCTGGAAGGAAGCCCACCCTGCAGGTGACACTGCCTCTGGCCTCTTTGCCTACGGCCTTCTTCTGGACCTGCCCCTCTGCTTCTTGTGGCAGGATGCGTGACATTATCCCATCCCATAAAACTGCCTGAGAACACTATGTAAGGGTGTGTTTGGCATCCTAAAGACTCTTAAGACTCGGGTAGAGAGTTCTCTGATTTCAGGAGCTGCTAGAGGAGAATTCCTTATTTGGTACCATAATGTACCAAGCCTTAATATTTTCTCATGTTAAGGAGGTTTGGTGTTCAAAGTGAAACACCATGATTCTCTTCTGGGAGCTGGGTGTCATATGTGTCATTTCCCCTCTATTCTGGGAAGAACCCATAGATCTCTGAGGGTGCCTTGTTTTGGGGGACTGCATGCACAGGGCCTTGCTGTGAGTTTCTGTTGTTGGATGCTGTGACTGGATTTATCCATTTAGAGGAATACTGTGTAGTGTTGTGTGAGATGGCAAGCTCTGCCTGCGAAGCTAACGAGGAATTTGTCATCACACCTGAATCTGATTTTTACTGAGCACTTGACTGAATCACAGAGAAGTGGCATCAGCTACTCTCTTAATACCTTTGATCAAACTCTCACCAACCCAGAGTATTACTGCTCGTCTTGGGCACAAAGTATTTTTCTGATAGCACTTGCTGGGATTAAATTCGGGCATATTGCAGTAGCCAAAATTAAGGTTACATGAAGCTGTTTCTACTGTGAAGAAGAATGGCTGCACATAGCTGTGTCCTGCTGATACGGCCAGTTCTACAGTAACGCTTGTTCTGGGCTGTTAGGTGTGATGCAGAAAAGATTTCTGGTTCAGCTTCTAAGTGCAGGGATGTTTGGAAAGATTATTAGATTTGGTGTACGATCTGTGCCAATTTGATCAGGATCAAGTTTATATGAGGACTCAGAGGTGGGCTTCTGGTTCACTCCCATCTCTAATGTTAATCAAAACTATGCTTATGCTATAGCTGGGGACTGCTACCCAAACTTTGACCTGCCATCTGGTAAGTGATCTGCTTTCATGCATCTCTTTGCATTTTCAGTTGACCTAATTAGCTACCTGACACGGTTTGAGTGGGACATGGCCAAATATCCCATAAAGCAGCCGCTGAAGAATATATCAGAAGCATTAGCAAAGGTAAATTATGCTCCGGTTTTTAAGAAGGTACCAGCATGGGCAAGCATGTCTTTTGGCAGTTTCTGGTCCCTCCTCAGCGCAGTCAGTGAGAGCTTTGCCTTCGGTTTGGGCAGGAGCAGGCTCAGAAGCCTGCACTTTGTGCTGAAGCAGCTGATATTATTGTAATTTATACTGCAATAATAATAGTACATATATTTAAGCCTATCCAGTCTGTAAGCATATGGCACTTTGTCAGATTTACTAGAATACATTGATGTACTTTCTGTACTTTAATCCCCTCCATTGGAACATTTTACTGATTTTACATACTGCCATGTTATTCTAAATTCTGGAGTTCTTTTGTGCAATTGTTGGCCTGACATTAAATCAGATGTGCTGCAGGCTGGTTGAATGATTTACACTGTCAGTCCATTCACAAGGGTGTGGTGTGTTGTTCAATGTAGGTAAGAAATGAAACCTTGAGCTTGCTCCTTAGGTACAGCTGCAACACAGAGCAACAGCTCACTGAACCCCACTTTCTGCAGAGGGCTTTGCCACAGGGGACCTCTGACACCGGCTCCTTCTTGGCAGGTTTATGGGGGGCTGACAGCCGTGTCCTTGTGTTAAAGTGCAGAAGGAGCAGGAGGGGAGTGAGAGCAATGCCTCAAGCACCGAATTGACTCACTTTCTTTACTTTGTTTTAGCAAGTGACACAGATAGAAACAGACCTAAAGACCCGATCAGCTGCATACAACAACATTAAAGGAAATTTGCAGAACCTGGAGAAGAAAACTGTGTAAGTACCGCACGTGCTGTTTGCATCTGGGGCACTGCACATCTGAACTGAGGCCAGTGCACGCTCACTCCCACTGCTGTGCAACGGACCATGAGTGTGCTGGTGGAGCACATTTTCCTGGCTTTGGGGCATGCTGAGCATCTACAGACCCAGTGAAGGCTGGGGGGAGCTGGTGCGATCAGCATATGTCAAAATCAGCTCAGGAAGACTGCAGGTCCTAGTTGGATTTTCTTGGCAGTGGGAGCAGTCGTGGAAAGTCAAAACCTACTGTACTGTTCTGATGAAATTTCAGGGAGTCAGAAGTTAGGTGAGCTGGGCCAACTGGTGAAATCCCTTGCAAGATGGAGCTGTTTCCTATGTTCTGAACAGCATTTGCAGCATAGGAAACAGCTCTGCCTTGCTTGTTCCTACACCTCACCAGCAGCCCACCCACATTCTTCTTCGTTTTGTTTTGTTGGTCCAGGTAATGCCCTGTCAGGGCTTCCCAAATGTTCTCTCTCCTGTCTTCAAATGCTTATGGTCTTTACCTATGTCAGTGCTGATACCTGGATTTTTTTTCCAGGGTATCACCGGGGAGAATAGTAAATTCCAGTAAGTAGTAAATTTAAAGCAACTTAGATGATGCCGTGCAAGCCCTCGCCCAACACGCACTCGTATCTGCCACTCCTTCCTACTCAGGGCCCTTGGACACAGGTTCTCACCTTCTGGCACTGCAGAAATCAACCACTCTCCCTCATGGAGACCTGCTCAACATGGGACTGCAGTACCCACGAGGGTCAGCAGAGCCATATTACACTTCTCCTCTCTGCTGAGTTCCTGTGTCCATGCCTCACCACCACCAGCCAGCACCACTGGCCTTGTACTTCCAGCTTGGTATAGACAGTGTTAGACATGTTTGTCTCAGGCTGCATGCATGTGGATAGCTCCCATGTCTACCCCATGTGGATAGACATTAGCTCCCATTTCTCTTTTCTGGCACATTCCCGTTTCCAGCCCACTCCCGCAGCATCTCTCTAGCTTCCACATCAGCTTTAAGCTCCTGGAGAGACGCAGAAGCCCTGTGTGGGGAACATGAGCAGTGCCAGGCCTCCAGCAAGGTGATGAACAGAGACCTTGTGGTCCAGGCCTGTCTTTCTCTTACCACCCCATCCACCTTTGAATACTGACATCTCTCATGCCTCCCAGTGCCAGCTAACTTGGGTTGAACATCTAATAAGGTGTTACTGGCTACTTAGTTAATGTTTAGACTGGCACAGCAAACCTTTCTTCACTCCTCATGGCTTCCCCCCCGGCACTGGGAAGGAGTGCCTACCAGCCATGCCTGGCCAGCCCGAGCCACCGACATGTCCTACGTGTGCAGCACTGGTAGGACTTCATGTGATCAGGTGGGCTTAGACTGTGAAGAGAGCCCCTCCTGCAGGTCCCACCGTGCATGAGACTGCTGCTCTCTCTGTCCTTCAGCTAGAGGGAGGTATCTGTGCATGCTTGTCCACAGCACTGCAGGTTATGCCAGGGTTTGATGGCTTAGGTCTATTGCTTACTCTGACTGAAGTGTGTTCACACAGAGAAAGTGGGTGCCTCCTGTGAGATGCAGCAATGACTGGGAGCAGAGTGGTAACTTCAGATGTGCTCTTCACAAGCACCCTTACTGTAGAAGCAATAGTAGCAGAATGTGTAATTTCACCTAAAGGGCATAAAGTAGCCTAGTGCTAGTCACCAATATTCTGCCATTAGCATTAGTTGCCTTTTTATTCTTTTTAGCTGCACTAAAAATAACTAAGTGGTCATTCTAGAAGTGTAAACACTTCCGTTAGCCACCTCCTTCAACCCTGATACATACTATTAGCAACTACACCCACAGCTCCACACCTCCAGTGTGCTGCTGCTGGGCTCCTGCTAGTGTTATTTTTCCTTTGTCTTCTTCACCATAGGGGAAATCTGCTGACTCGGACCCTAGCAGACATTGTGCACAAAGAAGACTTTGTTCTGAACTCCGAGTATCTTATCACGCTGCTCGTCGTGGTACCAAAGTAAGACAATAGCGTGCTCACATGCGCTCAATGTGGTGTTGAGTTTTAGGCCAAAGCACCAGATCTGGGCAATACTGGATCAGGTTGGGGCAGCTCATTAGCACTGGGGCATGGGTAATGCTGTTCGCAAAGGGGAAAGAATGGTTTCTGCCAAGGGTGGCTCCGGCACAAAGGAAAGAGGCAAAGATGTCTCCAAACTTACAGTAGGACAGAATTGAGGCATAGGTTTTTAATGGTTACAGAGTGGGTTCTCAAACAGCCTCCTGGTAGGAGGCTTGTACAGGGGTCCTGGACTAGAGGACGTTGTGTGGCAGCCTGGAAGTATGTGCCAAAAGCTACATTCTTCCCGCCATCAGCTTCCTGCTTTGGGCCCTTCCTCATGCCAAGAGCCAAAGTGAAGACTGAGGGTGCAGCACAGAAGGAAACATGTCCCTAGTTCATGACTAGGAGAGGAAGGGATAAGAGAGGCTTAATGTATCTTAAGCGGCATGAAGAGCTCCAACATTTCTACCCTAAACTATTAGCTTAATTAACTATATTTATCAACACCTTTGCTTCCCATAATATAGTATGTATTTTCTGTGCTTTGTTTTGTGTATTGCTCAAAGGTCAAGCTATGTACAGTGGCAGAAGACCTATGAATCCCTCTCCGATATGGTAGTACCTCGCTCCACCAAGTAAGTGAAATTCCAAATGAACGTCCCTGTTGGTTTCAGAAATTTCTGCCATATTTCAGCCCCTCAAATTGCTGGATCCTGGAAAGAATCACTTGTCTACTACATGGGCTCCCTTTGAACATAGAGATTTATCCAGTCACATTCTCAACTGAAATAAAAAATTACTCTGTTGAAGGGAAGTGCAGATAAAAGGGAAAAAAAAATCATCACTGGTTGTTTTTTTTTTAACAGTTAGCTTGTTGTTCCCTTTTCCCGTTATCTCATTCTACTTTCAACTAGGGCCTTTTCTTTTTGTGTAGAACAGCCAAACAATTTGTTACAGTGATCCAGGCATAATTCAGACACATGCAATCACATACAACCTTATGGAAAGTACTTTTTACAAAGATCAAACAATATCTTTGCATCTTTAATTGCTTCCTGCAGTAGAACAGGATAATTCAGTGTACTGCCGTTTGCATTAGCAAATGCCATATGAACTTATCCTTTCACCTGGAGTAAATAATCCTTCCTAGGAATTAAATATTCCACTGCTCAGCTCACACAGACCATGGTCCAGTCCAGGGCACGAGAGGTGACAGTGCTATTATCTGAAACGGAAGAAGTGGAAAGCACTGAGAAAGAAGCAAGCTGTTTGTTACTGCCTGTCTCAAAACCAAAAGTGCATGGGAAGTGGGGAATGTTACCAGGAAAAACAGAAAAATCAGGCAGGCAGAATGTGTGTGTTCTGCGATGGGTTCAGGAACTTAACTTGGGGGACTTTTACATTGGAGGCGGCGTGGCCAGTGGTAATGAAGTTGTTGTTCCCTCTTTCAGTCAGAGCAGATGTTGAAAAGCAGGGCAGTGTTCAGTAGCATGAGTGAAAAAAAGAATTGTGAATGAGGAAGGTAAAGAAAGCGTGGGGGATTTGCCACATCAAACCACAACAGTGATTTCTCCCCCGCAGAATGATTGCTGAGGATGCAGAGGGAGGACTCTTCACTGTGACCCTATTTAGAAAAGTGATGGATGACTTCAAGGCTAAAGCCAGGGAGAACAGGTAAGAAGCACCAGTCGCCAGGCAGGGCAGGCTACATCAGACAGGTCGTGAAGATGAGGTTAAGCTTATTCTGCGTGCAGTTTAGCTGAATCCATCACTGGGTTTGAGACTTCTTCACTAGTTGAGCTGTTCTGGCCCTAAAGCCACTGAGAATGCAGGGTGGGAAGGAGCTGTGGCAGCAGAATCCCTGATCCTGTTCTTTAAACACTAAAATACAGATCCTGGAATTGTCCTTCCTGCTTTCATGCTGATAGCAGGAAGCATGCTTTTTGGGATGACTTCATCTCCCACCCTCCACATACTTTAACTGGTTAAATGGCTACCAACTTTGAAACATTCCATACCTGCTTCTCTAGGTGAGTGTGCATATTGCTTGGTCCACGTCTTGTGAGAGCAAATGTCATTTGATTGTAGGTTTATGGTTCGAGAATTTTATTTTGATGAGAAGGAACTGAAATGTGAAAAGGAAGAGCTGATGAAATTAGCTTCTGATAAGAAACAACAATATGTAAGTAGCATATCAAGTTGGTGACCCACATAATGGCATCCTTTGCTACCAGCATGCCTAAAGCACCTCTCAGTCAGAAATGGCTTTATTGTTCTGACTCCTGGGAGCTCCATTTAGCCCAGACAGCTGAGGCACAGGATAGATAACATGCTTTCCCTGAGGTCACCCGAGTTTTTCATAAGCTGGGAGCACTAACAAGCTATCTGAAAATTATCTCAGCAGCCCATGATGGCTGAAGTGGTGTTAGCTACGGAGCTGCTTCATACAGCAAGGGGATCGCAACGCTCTTGTACCTGTTCTTGTAGGGCCCATTGCTGCGCTGGCTGAAAGTGAACTTCAGCGAAGCATTTGTGGCTTGGATCCATGTCAAAGCCTTGAGGGTTTTTGTTGAATCTGTCCTGAGGTAAGTGGGTAGAAGTGACTGTAGAAGTCAAAACACAGCTCTCTTCCTGCGGTAGTTCTTTGTGGGAGGGAACATCCTTTACACACCTGTCATGGTTTAAGCCCAGCCGGCAACTTGGAACCACGCAGCCGCTCGCTCACTTCCCCCCCCTTTTTCTTCCTCCCCCCGCTCCCGGAGGGATGGGGAGGAGAATCGGAGGAATGTAACTCCCACGAGTTGAGATAACAGCTCTCCAGTAACTAAGGTATAATACAAACCACTACTGCTACCAATAATAATGATAAGGGAAATAACAAGGGAAAAGGACACAACCGCTCACCACCCGCCGACCGATACCCAGCCCGACCCGAGCAGCGATCTGGGCCTTCCGGGTAACTCCCCCCAGTTTCTATACTGGGCATGACGTGCTGTGGTATGGAATACCCCTTTGGCCAGTTTGGGTCAGGTGTCCTGTCTCTGCTTCCTCCTGGCTTCCCCTCCCCTCTGGCAAAGCATGAGACAGAAAGTCCTTGGTCAGGGTAAACATTACTTAGCAACAACTAAAAACATCGGTGTTATCAGCATTGTTCCCAGACTGAAAGTCAAAAACACAGCACTGCACCAGCTACTAAGAAGGCGAAAAAATGACTGCTGTAGCTGAACCCAGGACAACACCTCATGCCAGGGGGTCATGGGAGACAATAGATATGACCACAAAAAAGGTGACATTCAAAGTTGATGAAAAATAGTTGTTTGGGGGCACTTACAAGGAAGTGAAAAACAGAAAGACACTGTTTACTTGACTTTTGGCATCAAAAAGGAAATGCTTTCAGGCAAGCAGGCAACATGCTGCCACTGAGATTGTTTCTGCAGTGCAGCATCAGCTAGCGTGCCAGGAGGGAGAGGGGCAGGAGCAAAAGGTGTGCCTCTGCCCAAGAGATGGTCATGTATGTTGGTGTGTTCCAAGGTATGGCCTCCCAGTGAATTTCCAAGCAATGCTGCTGCAGCCAAACAGGAAGTCTGTAAAACGCCTGAGAGATGTCCTGAATGTGGTCTTCAAACACCTGGATGAAGTTGCAGCAGCAAGTATAATGGATGTATGTATTTGGACTGCAAGTGTACATGCTGTAACTTGTCCCAGTTTAGTCAGATGAATACTTCCATGGCCCAGGGCATGCATCTCCACACATCCTGCAGTGCTGCTGGATGCAGCTCTAGTCCCTGGTGGCTACAGATTAGATTAGAGTTAAGAGGTATGCGCAGATTACAATGGAGATGCATACATGTCTTACATTTTCTCTTGAAGCATCTGATGTTTACAGCCACCAGACTGAAATAGATCTGCCCAACTGTGGCAGTTCCTCTAGGTAAAAAGCTTCTATAAACATTCAGATCAACACAAGCAAGAAAATTAATCTAGAACCAAATATTGAGGCTGTGACACCTCCATCCCCTGAAAAAGGCTTGTCATTGACCAAATACCTCAGTTTAAGACTTCATCAGTCCTCCCTTTCTTCTTTCCCATATCTTGAGTGCACAGACAATTCAGGATAAACCAGTAGGCATTAGAACAGCCTAAAATCATCAAGTGCAGGATTCCCAGTGCATGAAGGAGAAAGAATTAAGTTGCTCTAGAGCTGAAGCACACAACAGTGCTACAAACCATGCCCATAAAGCTGCAACCAAGCCTGCATTCTCAATGCTAAACTCCATTAGGCAGCACAAAACTGCAACCCCCAGATTCTCAGTGGCAAATTGCCCACCTTAAGCACAGCAAATACAAAACTCCATTCCACCTGTGGAAGGGAGCATAAAAGCAATCCAGTGTAACTTGGAACTGTGTAAGCTTGGTTCTGGTGCTAAATCACATTGCTTCCTTTTGCAGCCTGGCATGGACATCCCCGGTTTACAACTGAGTAACCAAGAATACTATCCTTATGTCTACTTTAAGGTAGACCTCAGTCTTCTCGACAGCAGCTAAAGAAAAATGGCTCAAGCTTCATCTATTAATTTTCAAGACCCTAATGTTGCAGTAAAACAATCTTTAGCTACTGAAATTCACATGCAGATGCTGTAGCAGGATAATTGCATAAGATCTTCCTCCCTCTGGCAGTAATTTTTACAGTGACTTCAATATAAATATCTCATAGTCTTACAAAAACATATTTGAGAGGCAGGAGGTACTATAGTAGTATTTATTATTTTTGGTAAGTTACAAAGATGGAATATCTATTGGACTTGAAATAAACCATTTTAAAAGTGTGGTGGCTAATGGATCTACTAGGTGTATACAGGCCTGATTTTCTAAGAGAGCAAACTTAAAAAAACCAAACAAAAAGTAGAAAGCATCCAAGCAAAATTCAAAGTTCCTTTAGTTTTTTAAAAAATAAAAGCTTTAAAAGAAAGATCCTCAGAATTGCTGTGGAACTTAATGTAGTATGACTTCTAGTCCCAAGTACTCCTCAGTTTAGTTTTTGCCAAGACTGTTCAGTTAGAACTTATGTGCTGGGATGGCTTAGAGTTGGAGCATGTTTCCTGCACCAAATCCAGAAAACTACTGTTGAGCGCCAGCGGGTCTTACCCTGCCTTCCACCAGGAGGGAGCTACGGGCCATCTCCTGTGGACACTACACGATAAATATCCACATTAAATTATTTCCTTGAAAACAGAGGAAACTTTCAGTTCTTTCACTTCTCACTTAGGAACAATTCCATGATTCTGAGCTCATCATATGAGCGTCACTTCACTAAATACAAGACATGAAGAGCAACAAAATATAATAGTATTTGTATTTAAGAAGCAGCAGCAACCATTGCCATGCCCAGTCTCGATTCCCCTTCCAAGGAAATAGTGATTTCAAATCAAAGCAATGTCAGATAGGAAGTGAAGAAATACTACCGCTACCCAATTTGCTGGAGACAGCACCATGGTGTTTCTGTTAGCACTTTCCCCTAAAATGTTAGCTTATGTCCTAAACTGGGGATTAGCTTCAGCTCCAATCCTGGGGAAAGACCAATAGCTCCCTGCGTTTCCCACTGCAGCAGCCACCCTGCTTTCATTGTGTTAAAGATCTCACCAAGTCTGTCACAAAGAGAAAGCCCCTGAGAAAGAAGAGGAAGATTAAAGAGCATTTAAACTAGGATTGTCCATCTAATCAGGCTTTAGGCCATACTGTCAAGATCATTCACAGCAAGGGGGGAGTCACAGACTGCCCTTTGCCCCAGCCTCTATGGTCTACAGCTCATTTTTCGAGTCATCCAAAATGGGATAGCTTTTATCATGTGCACCTCTGTTACTCTACACAAGACTAACACTGTGTGTCAAAAATATTTTGTTTTATTCTTCAGTTGAAACATAAGCTGACCAGGTTCCACCTCCATGAAAAAAAATACCATGTTTAAAATTGGTTACACTAACAGCCTCCAGCAACACTCAAAACAGCACACTATCAACAAAACAAACCCCAAGATGTTCCAAAGAAATATCCATGTTGTCCTCAAAATATTTGTTACACAGAATACAATCAAGTTTACTGGTTATGACAATTCATAGAATTTCTGCAATGTTTTCTTGAGATGCGTACAGTTCACTCCTGCAGTGCATCGCATAGCACAGTGTGGCATGTGCTAGTTCTCCATGAAAAGGCCACTGGAATATCCATCTGATTGTGAACCAGGTTGCAAACTGCTGCACAAGCTCTCCCAAGAAAAGAAGTTTCCTGAAGATCTCACAGCTCATCTTTATCCCAGTCATCCAGATCCACATCACTGAGATCAATATCATCTTCAACTGGCAGCTGTGGAAGAGGGAAGGTTTTGAGCATGGGTTTTGAAGCACGTAACAGAGGACATCACTGATTTTTAAAGATGCTTACTTCATGCTGATAGTAAAAGCTCCCTCCTGTCACCTCTGTCATAAAAACTCAAAGTGTATTAAGCACAGGAAAAGTGCTCACAGTTTAGACTAGAAGGTTGTTTTCTACTAATAAAAATACTCCAGATAAAGGCAAATACAGATGAACTATCTAATACTATCACATTCTATATTTTAATTCCATCTGAAGTAGATTGAAGGATTGTAGTAATTTACGTTTTTACAGAAATGTTGAATGTACTTAATCCCTGTGCTATTTATTACACGGGCTTTCCCTTAGAAACTGTCTGACATTAAGACTTTGACAACAAGGTCAGCATATTGCAGAACCAAAGCCTCTGCAACACTCATACCTTGAATGCATACACTACCACCTCCCTTAATCAGCACAAGCAGTAACGCATCTCAGGCTCAAGGGATTCAACTTTCAGATCACATCCCAAGAGCTAGGCAGGAATATCTGTCCACAGTGTCAGGCGATGAATGTGGTGTTTGGTGTAGTGGCAGGATTTAGACAATGGGAAACCATCAACACACCTCACCACAATCTTTGAAGAACAAGAATTTTCACATTGCCAGTTCTTAGTTATTTTATCAATCACTTCTGAGCCTGGCAAGCCATCAGCACTTTTAGAAATGAAGCACCTCTTACCTCACCATCTTTGCCATCCCAGGGTTCAACTGAATGAATTTTAGGGAAAGCTCCACCAGCCACTGGTGCTGTAGAGCCACGACCAACAGACAGTTCCCTGAGAAAAAAATACCAAGTAAAATTTAAAGAAGTTTCTTCAGTCTCCATCCACCTGGAACAGTGCCTGCTTCAGATAAAAGGAAGTCAACTTCAAGATCTGGTCTCTGGAAGCACATCTAAATTGTCTGGAAGCAAAAACTTTTCTATCTGAGAAGCAGAAAATTATAGAGCCTTTAAAGTAGCACTGCAAATTTACAATTGGATTCAAAGAGACAAACAATGTGAATTTTATTATTTCACATTTCAGCAATGTAACAACCATGGACACGCACAGCCCCTTTAACAGTGTGATGTTTATCACTTAAGGCAACTCCAAGAAGAGCCTTTAATTCTAATGTTGGAAGTCATCTACAACTGTTATTTGAAATCTTTTATAATCATCTTTTTAGTGATGTTTTCAAGCAGAGAGTAAGCCTCCACAGGTTACAGTGGGTAGGAGGTAACCAGCTTCAAGACACTCCATCTTGCACTTGCTAATTAGGCTTCCTCAAAAAGCCTAAACATTAAAATCCCAAAAAGCTAATCCCTTCACACTCTT